CTCTCTCTCTCTCTCTCTCTCTCTCTCTCTCTCTCTCTCTCTCTCTCTCTCTCTCTCTCTCTCCTACTACTACTAACCCACTCACCTTGGCGCGACAGCGCGATGGCGGACGTTGGCGGAGCTCCCGTTGAAGTGACGCGTCGGGCAGGAGAGGTCACGGGGGAGGGGACGAGGGCCGGTGGTTCCCGTCCTCAGGGATTCGAAATCGCGGCCCATCTGGGCTGTCGATCCTGGAGATCGACGGCGCAGATAGGCCCCGCTTTCGAAATCTTGAAATCGAGCCTACCGGCCCTTTTTTTTTTCATCCGTTGGCCTGGACGGCCTCCTTTGGGGGGAAGAAGGCCCCCCACGTCGAAAACGGCCGAACCCCCCCCCTCTTCTGGGATGCGCTGGGGTCGGAACAACCGGCCAGGCGGCCCGCCCCCCCCCCCAGGCGACCACCGGGTCGCCGGGCGGCCCGGGGACCAGCCTAGCAAAAAACAAATATGTTATGCAGAAAAATAAACTGAACAACTTTTGCCTCAGGGTCACATCGAAATTCGTTACCAAATTTAAAATAAAAAATTAAGTTAAAAATTAATTTTTATTTTTTTATTTTTATTTGGTCCGGCCGGGCAAATGGCCCCGGGCCACTCTGGTAGCGTATATAGTAGCCAAAGGCAATAGGACTGGGTCAATGCTGGGATCCATCCGCAGGCACATGGAATCGGTAGCGAGTGTCAAGGTAAAATAGCACCAAGCTGTGAACTGAATACACACTGATGGGACCGATTAGTGACAAAACTAATGCATACGACTCTGTTTGCAAACGAGCCGCCAATGAATACGCACCAACCTCTGACAAGAGTTTTGCGGCCTTGTCTCCTCTCTGTGCAGGCTATGGCGGTAGAGACTGGCCATAGCCACAGGCAGCTGCTGGCTATGGCGAGAGAGATCCATAGGCAGCATCGCCACTGCCAGCATTGCCGCCGCGTTGGCTATTGTGTGGGAGGAACCACCAATTGATATGCACCAAGCTCTGACAAGAGTTTTGCGGCCTCGTCTCCTCTCTGTGCTGGCTATGGCGATAGAGACTCACTATAGCCACAGACAGCTTCTGGCTATGGTGAGAGAGAGAATGCGGCCGGTGAAGGGTCAACACCACAGCGACCGGAAGGAGAAGAGAGACTCCGAGTCACTGTGGAGAAGATTTGTCTGGTGGAAGTATAATGATCAGCAATGCTTGAACCACACCTTGGGTAGAGGAGGTCTCCGTCAGCACCTCGGGCTTTATCGGAGCTGACTCCGTTGAGGCTTGATGAGCAATGCTAAGGATTTGTAGGAGCTACCTCAGTTAAGCTATAGGGGGTGTGACTAACCCGTTCCAAGAAGTCATGTGCCCTGTGCTTGAGTTTTTACCTTAACCCCCATGCTAAAGCCTTAACTGAGTTAACTCACAGTTTCTGGGCCTTAAAAACCACCAGTACGTGCCAGCTATCAGGCCACGGGCCCCTTTCGGAGGCCGCCCACTGCCGAGTCGTTTTATCTATGACAATCGGCCTCCTAAATTTTCGGAGAGGCTCAAAACGGGTTCTCCAGTTGCCTGGGGGGCCATGTGTTGGTGGTTTGAGCCAGCGCCCTAAACCCTAAACCCTAAACTCTAAACCCTAAAAAGAAGGTAATATAAGGAAAATAAAAACTCCCGATTGCTAACACGGAAGGCCCCACCGGGTGTGGCCGAACCTAAACACAGGCTCGGTTCAGGTTCGGCCGAGGCACGAATTGACAGTTTGGTTGGGATACCGGCGCAGACTCGCGGCTTGCAACAAAAAAATGGTGGTGGTTCAATAGCTCAGTTAAGCTATTATAATAGTTTGTGGGCATGTTCAACCCATTCAGTGGTCTGTCCTCTGCTTGAGTTAACCTCCTTAAAGCCTCAACTCAGTAACTCCCAGCGTCTGGCGCTCTAACCGCTAGCGCATGGCCCCAGCCTTGTGGAGAATTGTGCGTCACCCACTCCGAAAAACTTGGAGCCTGCACGCCGTCGATAAAAGGTATCAGTGGCCAGCATCGTGTTTCGACCTCCGAACGGGGCCCGGGGCCGATGTATGCCGTGTGCTGGTGCTTCTATATCTAGCAACCAGTTTTCACCTTGACTTAACTACCTCTGGCAGATGCTTTGGTTATTATCTATGCACTGATGGGGTTGTGATCAGTTAAGAATCTTAAGATATAGCGCGCCATCATCCCAACCAGCCTTCAGCTTGAGCTAACTCTCTGCTCGACAAGGAAACACTCCACCCTATTCCCAATCCTAAACCCTAACCCCTAAACCCAACCCAGCTCAACCCGAAACCCTAAACCCCAAACCCCAAACCCAACCAAACCTTAAACCCAACCCAACCTTAAATCCAACCCAACCTTAAACCTAACCCAACCTTCAACCCAACCCAACCCAACCCAACCCAACCCAACCTAACCCAACCCAACCCAACCCAACCCTAAACCCTAAACCCTAAAGACTAAACCCTAACCACTAAACCCTAAACTGAATCCCTAAACCCAACCCAGTCCTAACCCTAACCTCTAACCCCAACCCCAACTCAACCCTAAACGCTAAACCCCAAACCCAACCCAGCCTTAAACCCAAACCAACCCAACCCTAAGGAGTACATGCTAAACCGAAACCCTAAACCCAACCCAATCCTGAACCCTAACCCCTTAACCCAACCGAATCCAACCCTTAACTCTAAACCCCGAACCCAACCCATCCTTAAACCCAGCCCAACCTGACCCTGAGTAGTAAATCCTAAACCAAAACTGGGTTGATCTGCTCGGTTGCAACCTCCACTGATTCCGCCCCAATCAGTGGTTTGTCCTCTGCTCGATCGCAATTACAGTTCGCCTCGCTGCTTCGGTGGTGCGCCCGCTGTATCATGAGGAGGACAGTCATCCCACGTGGCGACAGCTGGTAGATGGCCAAGTCAAACACACGGCATCTAAATGGGCCAAGGACGTGCCACGGCTCTCCGCATTCTACCAGTGATTGTCACTTTTTTTTTCTTTTTCTTTTTTTTTTATAAAGTAGACTGGGAACATTGGGAAGTGTAAAAAAAAAAAGAAAAGCACAATCGAAAAAAGTAGTAGTGGTTTCAGAAACACATAAGAATGATGACAATGATAAAGGTTGATGATGGTTGGAGCGAAGTGTGCGGAATCCCATCGGAGTGACTGAGCAAGGGAGCAGTGGAGGTCACATGCTGATTTGAGAGAAGTGCGTGAGAATTGCCGCAGCTATGTGGTGATATATGTTGTGTGTGTGAGTTGGACACTATGGCCTTGCAGGTGTGGGGAGAGAAGTGTGCAAGAATTGCCGTGTGGCGATGTGGCGTAGTATTTGGTGTGTGTGAGCTGGACATTACAGTCTCGCATGGGTGGGATCGATCTCCTGATCAGTACGGTTCCACTTTCGAACGCGGTGTCCTGGCTGTAGTGGTTAAGATTCAATAGACTTGGCTCTTGTGGCCGAGGTCGCCGGTCCGATTCCCCTCGTGCACGGGAGGGCCTGATGCCCAGATGTACAGATCGACAACTACCCACTGATGATGCCGGTTGGTATATTAGAAAGCCTGTGCAATTGGGTGAGATGGCCAAGGGTGCCAGTTCGATTCCGCGCGTTTACTTGTTTGGTGGTGGCTGGTGTCTTGATTCCTTTGCAGGCACGAGCGACCACGTCAAGCACGTCAAGGACGATGACATCACCTCATGGATACTACTTCCCGTTGGCAACTCTGTTCCGGAGGCGCCGGAGTCGGAAATTTCAGAAACTCGAGTCGCATCAATTGTACGCACTGGCGCTCAGAATTGATCGTTGTTGTTTTCCTGCACTGCTTTTGTTCTACTTAGTCTTCACCTGCTATGTCATATTTGGAGGAAGATTCAAGTGATCGGTGGATGAAACTGCAGTGACTCTTCTATGAAACTTCAGTGAAATGGACGAGGGGTCAGATGACGGTGTGGATGAAGGACGAAGGTTCGGGGGTTGGCTGATCATTTGGAGGAACTGTCCGATAGGATGAAGGTTCAAGTTGAGGGCGAAGGTACAGACGAAGTGCGAATGAAGTTTCGGATAATTCGAATGGATAGCTCGCGAGCCTTTTCCGCTCTTTTCCAACCTGCTGCGATCCCCATCGAGTTGGTCCCAATTGGGTGAGTTCGATGCTTTAAGCCACATTTGGATGAGCGTTCGGATGAAAGTTCAGATGAAGGTTCGGATGAAAGTTCAGATGAAGGTTCGGATGAAAGTCGGATGAAAGTTCGGATGAAGGTTCGGATTTGGATGGAGTAGCAGATGGAAGTGGCAGATGGAGATTCGAAGATTCGGATATCCGATGAAGGTTCGGGGTGATGGATGAAACTAGAACTGTGACACAGAGGCCATACTCACACCAGGACTTTCCTGGATGCATCTGACCGCAATTAGGCTCCGTCGAGGATGTACCTGACCGCAGTTACGTCCAGAGCTCAGTCGTCAAAAATTCTTGTGCGAGTCTGCCCTGAGTGTTGAGGCAGGAAGGGCAATTAGGAAGCATGGGCATACTCACACCAGGACTTTCCTGGATGCATCTGACCGCAATTAGGCTCCGTCAAGGATGTACCTGACCGCAGTTACATCCAGAGCTCAGTCGTAAAAACTTCTAGTGTGAGTCTGCCCTGAGTGTTGAGGCAGGAAGGGCAAGTAGGAAGCATGCGAGACCGCCAAAAAAAAATTACGTACGTACGTAAAACCAGGAGTGGTGTCCTTCGGGACATCCGTTAAAATTGGAACGATACAGAGAGAGAGAAGATTACCATGGCCCCTGCGCAAGGATGACACGCAGAAATCGAGAAATGGTCCGAATGGCAAACTCTTAAAAAAAAAAAAAAGTGGTGTCTACCTACCAACTGGCCTAGCTCAGTTGGTATACCCCCCTGGAACTGAACTGTTTGAAATACAGACCCTTGTCCAAACTCCTCGGGGAAGCGGGGGGGGGGAGGGGGAAGAAGAAAAGGAGTGGTGCCCAGTGCCCACCACACCCACAAACACAGCCATATCAGTTTCTGCACTGTTTTTTTTCTTTTCTTTTCCTTCTTTTCTTTTTTTTTTTCTTGTTTAGTTCTGTTCATCTTGTCCACCACTGCTTACTCATGCTGTGTTTTTCCCTGGGCCCTTAGAATGTTTCTAAGTGACTCTTCCACATATAATATCCCCTTTCATTTTCTTCCTCTCCGTCGAAGACATCAGGGACAAGGTCGCAACTTACCTGCATTCTTTGTTCCTGGCCGTAGATTTTTTTTTCTTTCAATATACATATTATGATATTACATAGTGCATTCTCAAATTATCTATAGATCATCTGTTAAGATTGGAAGGATACAGAGAAGATTAGCACAGCCCCTGCGCAATTGAAAACAGACAAACAAACAAACAAACTCCCGATGTGCAAGGGGACCTCCCGACCCTGCTGTACATAGAATGACAGAGATCTATGATCAAACTGGGCAGCTGTGACGAGTTCTGTGACCGAAGTGGCCAGCAGCTCCTGTCTCCGTGTTTTGTGACTGAACTGGCCCGCCATGACCTGTTCCAACAACTGAACTCTGGCCTCAGTCAGTTGTGAGCAGTTCTGTCACTAAACTGCCGTATGCTGTGACCCTTTTTGTGACTGAACTAGCCAACTGTGTGTCACCTGTTTTGTGACTGAAACAGTCACGAGCTTGCCAGCCGTGTGACCAGCTCTGTGACTGAAGTGGCCAGTCGCATGACCAGTTCTGTGACTGAACTGGCCAGCAGCTTCTGTCACCTTTTTTCTGACTGAACATGGCCCGTTGTGACCTGTTCCAAGGACTGAACTGGCCTCTCTTGTGACCTGGTCCAGTCCTGATCTCTGATTAAATGAGTCCACTAGTACCTTTCCCGCGTGGGAAAATAGGGAAAACTGGCTGTTTTCCCAAACTCCTGAATTTTCGGAGGTCGGGCCCGACAACGACTGCCATTGATAAATCTGATCGGCGGCCGTCGTTTGGTTTCGGCCTCTGAAAAGGCCGGACGCCTACCCGAGGCCCGCTATTTTCCCAAGCGGCAAAGGTACTAGTGGCTTAACCCCAAGTAGCACGCGTGGGCATTATTGTAGGGAGTTCTGTCGACGAACTGGCCAGTCGCGTGACCAGTTTCTGTGACTGGAATGGCCAGCAGCTTCTGTCACCTTTTTTCTGACTGAACTGGCCCGTTGTGACCTGTTCCAAGGACTGAACTGGCCTCTCTTGTGACCTGGTCCAGTCCTGATCTGTGATTAAACTACCGTCTTCCCCCGAACATAAGGCATATGCGTTGTAAATGAATATACGGCATATTAGGTTGCTTTCCATTCGAACACAACGAATATGCGTTCTGTAACTTCTATTTGAACATCCCTTATTTTCAAATACAACACACATGTTTTCTATTCGGATTTTTTTTCTTTTTTTTTTTGAAAACTCGAATACAACGCATATGAAAACTCGAATACAACGCATATGCGTTATGTTTGGGGGAAGACGGTAGTCTTCGGACTCTTCACCCCCAAGTAGCACCCACGGTCATTATTGCGGTATGTAGACTGAAAGGGTCTGCTTCCGCGGTTCGAGCATGGGACTACCATCTTAACCCCGAACAGAACATATGGTCATTAAAAGGAAAAAAAAAAAGAAAAAAAAGAACATAACGTCATAATTACTATAGCTGTATTCGGGGCAACTTTCAGTCTAGATACAGTGATAATGACCGTTCAATTCCGCTGAATCTGTTCTGTCACGGAACTGGCCAGAGGTGTGACCAGATCCGTGTTCGAACTTGAGCAGAGCTGTGGCCAGTTCTGTGGCTGAGCTGATCTGAGCTGTGTGACCATTCCAAGGACAGAACTGGCGAGCTGTTGCGACCAGTAGTCTGCACCTGGTCTGCCCGAGCTGGACCAGTAGTCCGTTCCTGGGCTGCCCCAGCTGGACCAGTAGTCCGCACCTGGGCTGCCCTATCTGGACCAGTAGTCTGCACCTGGGCTGCCTTATCTGGACCAGTAGTCTGCACCTGGGCTGCCCCAGCTGGACCAGTAGCCTGCACCTGGGCTTCCCCAGCTGGACCAGTAGTCTGCACCTGGGCTGCCTTAGCTGGGCTAGCCCTGCTGCGACCAAGCGGTACCTGGGCTTCCCCAGCTGGACCAGTAGTCTGCACCTGGGCTGCCTTAGCTGGGCTAGCCCCGCTACGACCAAGTGGTCTCTAACTGGATCATGGAGGTTGTGACAAGAGCGTGGGCAGTCCAGTCTTCGGACTTGTCACAGCTGGTGGCCAGAGGTTGGCGGTCATTGGCTACAAAATTCCACACTGATCGACGGAACTCAGCCGTTAGATCTACGCTGCAGCTGCTGGCGGTCCTGGTCTGTTCCCTGGGACCAGATGGATGGGGACCGGACCAGGACGTTGCCAGCTCGATCCAGGTGGATGGAAGAGTACTACAAGATTCGATTTGGTCCTGGTCTGGTCCCTGGGACCAGACCGGGACATTGGCAGCTCTGATTAATTTGCGAAAAGGCTTGTGGATTGCTGCAGGTCGTCGTGGTCTGTTCCCCGGGACCAGATGGCACTAAACCAGGCCGCAGTCTCCTGGGAACCTGGTGGTCTAAGGAACGTCGGGGAGTCTGACCCGATGGTACTGAGACCATTCCTCAGTTTGCTGGATACCTGGTGGTCCAAGGAACACACTTGGGACCAGATGGTACTAAACCCAGCCTGAGTCTACCGTCTTGCCCAGAACGTAACGCACCATTATCGGTCCTGTGCAGCAATATGGCGCCTTGATCAGTACCTTGGAATTAATTGTATGGAGCGGCAATGGAGCCTGAGTGGCGCCATTATTAGTACCTTGGTCTGGTCCCAGCTGGTACAGTTATCACCTTGGAATTAATTGTATGGAGCCCAAGTGGCGCGATTATCAGTACCTTGGATGGATTCTGAGCCTCAGTTTCCTGAAAGGGAAACCTTAGTTTCCTGAAATGGAAAGCTTGTGGGTACAGTAACTACGGGTATCGGTCCTAAAGTCCGAACTGGCATAGAACCTGCTGGTCCCATGACCGGTCCCAGCGATGTACCATGTAAAAAGATTGGGCCTGCGAGAAAAAAAAACAAGAAAAAAAGAAGAAAGAGTCTCTGTTTGAACACGACCAGAAGAATCGATTCGGGCAATGCTCGAAAGCGGAACCTTTTTTTTTTTTTTTTGGGTGTAAAGATCATGTGGTCTGATGGACCACAATCTTTTTCCTGGCCGTTTTCGGACAGGTCAGCTCAATGGGGTTTACCTGTTGCAACCTTTGGCTAAACCTCTCTGGCTGGCCTTCATCAGTTTTTTTCTGAGTGAGGACGCCGCCCGGCCGGGCCTGCCCAGCCGGTTGGGCAGCCCGGGTAAACCGGGCGGGCCAAAAGGCTGTCCAGAAATATATGTACATATTTTTTGAAACCGGGGTTGTTCTGCGCTCGGCGAGAGGA